ATGGCCACATGAAGCAGTGTGCTCTTGCCAGGACAGCGCACATCATTGGGCTCGATGGTGCGTAACGTATAAGATTTCTCCAAGCTTCCTTCGGCAGCTACGGTACAATCATCGGAAAAAGCCTTCCAGGTCCAGAAGCCGTTCACTTGCACATACTTCCATGCCTTCCCTGGACCTGCATCAATCTTGGGAGGATCCCTTCCCTCGCAGCCCTGTCCTGTTCGGCTGCAACACCACTGCTTCTTGCTGTCACTCCAACCAACATGGAAGTTGCTGAGTCCCGAGTCACAATCGTAGATTATAGTCACGTTGTGATGAGTCACGGTGTGAGCATGCCACGCAACTTGCAACTGGGCCCAGGTCCAATAGCCGTTCACGTACACATGCTTCCATACCATTCCAGAGCCTGGATCAACATCAGGAGGATGGCTCCCTTCGCAGCCCTTCCCTTTGTTTGTGCAGCACCACACCTTCTTGCTTGGAGACCAAGCACGGTGGAAATTGCTCAATGCAGCGTTGCAGTCATAAGGCTCAGACCCAGGGTCGACGTTGCATCCTGCTGCCCAGACCGAACAGGCACGGCACACATCGCACTCTACCTGAACCTGTGAATAAGCAAGCGCGCACGCATTGTCACGGCCCTTAAACATATGTGCCTCAGCAAAGCGAATGCGCTCATCGCAAGTGGATGTCTCTCCATAATGCGTGCAGGGAGCGTCGCACCCCAGAGGACTCAGTGTGGTGTGGCAGCCCTTTTGAAAATTGGCGCAGCACCACTCACTCTTCTGATCATCCCACGAATCCGAAGATCCAGTCGAGCAGTTGTAGGGGCTGCAGCCCTTATGGTGATGCACACAGCAATAGTCCTTTTTGGCATCCGTCCAGCCGTGGATCCAATATGAGAAGCCTAAATCACAATCATATGATCTGGGGGCCTCAAGGGCGTTGTTCGATGGAAGAACCAGCAGTGTGAACCATAGCGCCCGCATGGCGTTGTGAGTCGCGACTGGCCCAGCTCAGCTGGTCCCCTTCGAGCCAAACACTTGGTGCAGACAGAGGTCCTCAAGGCTTGGGGACCACACCTTGCAGGCCATGCGTCCACTTCCGATGACGATCCGTTGTGGAGCTCCGAACTCCCAAGAACGCCACGCTGAGCTCCGGACTCCAAACCATTCAGGGGTCATCTGCTCCCCGGACTTCCTGACGAAAGAGTGACTTCCCATAAGCTGAAGGGGGAAGGGCGCAAACCGCAGTGCTTTGGAACCGAATCATGTGAATTATGTGTGATGCCGACACGCAGGAGTACGATTAGACAAACTAGTGCTCGAAGGCTAAACTAACCCTAAACCATACGGTCTTATATACTATATATAAAAATTACTCCAAGGCTCCCGGGCCCTTGTAGTGAGATCCCAAATTGTAGGCCCCCAAAGCCGAAACCCTCCCCCAGAAAGCCCAAGACCCTCTGAACTCTTAGGAGCCCTAGGGCAGTGCTCGAACCCTAAACCCTAAACCATGGCCCCAGGAAAAACACGCAGGGGGGGAACAAGCTCTCGTGATGTCGGGCTGTTGGTGCTCAGGGGCGGGCAGATATGTAGATAACTTGAGGTCCCTAGACGCTAGACCGCACATCACCAAGCCTGAAAACCACCGACCAAAACGAAAGAGTACGATTTAGGGTTTACGACAGAGCACTCAGACCCCAAACCCGAAGAGCCTAATTAAGCCCCAAGCCCTGGAACCCGAAAGAGCCCTCAGAACGCAAAGCTTTAGACAACAAACCCCAAGCTTTGCATCCTTAGACAAGGAAGCCACAAACAGTTTAGGGTTTTGGTATTTCGGGGTTTAGGGTTTAGTGGTTTAGGGTAGCGGTTCAGAGCTTACTGTTTGTATCACAACCCTGAACCCTAAACCCTGTTTACTGGAAGCCTGGGATTCGGTGGCGTGCTACATGGGAAATTTATAGTTAGACTAGGTGTTGCAGTGAATTTAAAGATTTATGCTAAGATGTGGGAGGTGGTAGGGGACTTAGTCATTGTCGTGATGTACTATTCAGAACCCTATATTGGGTGTTCGCCCCATTGGTTTGTGACTTTGGGAGCAAATATATGTGTGTGTATATAGACATATACTTAAATAGAACAGGGTTTATAGGTTTCAATCGTTTGCAGGGCTAGATTTGGACATTGTTGAAAACTCTCGAGATCTCTACTTTCCGTTCGAAGCGAGTTGAACAACTTTCTTGGTGCTTCGGCGTGGTATGAGCTCAGGGCTTTGGGGTTTAGGGTTTGGGCTTAGGGTTTAGGGTTTGGGGTTTACGGTTCAGGGTTTAGGGCAGTTTAGGTGTTACGGGAAACTAGAGCATTCGAGATCTGAGCTCCCTTCGTCTTGTTATGGGTTTGGGCCTCTGGTTTTCTTCTTCTGGGCCTGTGTTGCAGGTGGTATGGGCTAGCCCCTGAACATGCCTGAGGCATGTGCAACTAAGGTTGCGGGCCTCTGAGGCACGCGAAACATCACGGTGGGTGTTGTGGACCTAGTCCCCATCATCTTGACCATCAGACTCCGTAGCCACCCACCACTCGACCAACACCACATCATCTTTTTCTCATTCATCAAAATCTTCATCATCATCATCATCACTAAAATAAACTGCATTATCGGTGCGGTCAGGCGGATAATGGCAACAAACTAAAAGCAGATTTGGTGAAAGAAAGGTCTACCATCAAATCAACGGTTCATGACTCATATCAGAATCTCAATCTTCGTGCTATGGGCTGATCACCGTCGCGTTCATCATATCGCTGTCGGCCCTGCCATATTCCCAACTGCAAGCTGTAAACGTGGAGCCAACGACATTACACGCATGGATGTGAATGACGACAGCGATCACTACTGTACTACGGTGCGACGGCCACCGTGACGGCGGCGGCACGAGAACTCCGACTAATCCACACTAATACTATACTATAGTATACTATCGTATACTAAACGAATACGCACTGATACTAAGCACATCGACATGAACGGAAACATCTGCGAAGATCCTCAAGCCCCAACGCCGATGCGACTGTGTCAAGGCGGCGTAAGCGTAGCCATGCCCAAACTGTCGCGCAAAAGCTGTCAAAGTCCACCACAACCGCCACCGATGAGGTCATTTGGTCTGCATCAAAGGGCCGTCCGGAGAGGGTGTTGCCACTGGCTGTTCGGAACCACCCGAGAGCCACGGCATGCTCCGACGACGGATGCGTTGTGCGCGACCTCTCAGAGATCTGCACCACGAGCCCTAAACGCCGGAACCCCTGAAGCTAGGACCTTCCAACGCCGTAAAACCCTGCAACCTCTACGCGAAAGACGATAGATCCCTTCATAAACACTGGAATGAAAAGGCCGAAGCGTAAAATACATAGACTCCCCACACCCACTAAACCCGAAACACAAAAACACGCTAATATAATCAGAACAGCGCTTTCACCTCATAGCCTAACATAGTTTAAGCAATGCAAGTACAATCAACCAGTGTAAGGAATATTCTACTCGTCATTGACTATTCAGGCTTCTACACTAGGCCCAAAAGATTCCAAATTAAGATCGTCTCAAGCCCAATAAGGGGCAACATAAAATGACCCGAAGACCTACCCATAGCTTCTATACCGCACCCAAGCCCCATAAACCCTAAACCCTAAGTGCTTCTAGACTAGGCCTCCGGGCCCTTGTGGCTTCTCTGGGCGGAGCACGCCGGACGGCAGCGAGCGCTTCGGAGCCATCGCGACGAGGGGCTGGGTCTAAGGTTTCTGGTTCAGCTTATGATTGCTCTTACCCTATGCTTCCAAGGACCTTGTAGTTAATTAGGGCCTAGACCCCTTAGGGACCCTGGAAGCATAGGGTTAGTTATTGTTCATGCATCGCTATTTTGATTCTTTAGGGGGTTGCGTTTAGGGCTTTGGGTTTGGGGTTAAGAGTTTAAGTTTAAGGCTTACCGAGACCCTAAAACCTACCTGCTTAGGGCTCCTCATTATGACTTCCTTATCTGAGTTCTTGAAAAGGTAGGACATTTGGGGGGTAAGTGTGAGAATTTGGGTTTCTGGCTTAAGGTTTCCGGTTTAGGATTGAGGGGCTCGATGGGTGATGAAAGGAACAAGGGTGGAGGCATTTGCGTTTGCTTTTCTTGTTTCTGAGTTAAGGTTTAAGGGGTTAGAGCTTAGGATTTGGAGGCATTGTTCAGGGGCCTTTAGGGCATTGGGGCCTCGGGGTGTTGGTGGATTTAGGGTTAAGCGTTGGGCACTTAGGGATCAGCGGGGCTGAGGGCTGCGGGGGCTACAGGACTCAGGGCTTTAAGGTTCAGGTGCTTGCGAGACTGTTCGAGGTTGCTCTATAGGCCTCTTGAAGTTTTAAGCCGGCAACGCAACCTCCCAACAGGAAAGCTCAGAAGAAACTCTTCTTTCTAGATTCTAGTCTCCACTGTATTTCTTTTTTTTGACTCAACCAACTATACATTCAGGATCCTGCAAAGTATATTTAGGATCCTATAGGGTGACCCCCCAAAAAGGAACTACAATG